TACAAAACCTTCCAGCTGCACTTTCATAGTCCTTTTTGGGCTCTGAGCACACCCTTTGTCGTGATGCAGCTGACGTATAAACACTCACAGCAAGCCAACTTCACGATTTGCATTATATACGTACATGTCGGAAAACCGAATGCTGGTTCAGCCGTCCGTCTTCCAAACTCTCCTTTTCAAAAAGTTAAAGCACCATATGAACACTTCGTCTGTTTATATACTTCATTCACTTTATTTTTTTAAAGAACAGGAAATATTCTCGAAAACATTGAAATCTGCCATCATGAACTTGAGGGCACATAATGAAATTAATGGGAGGTGGAGTCAGAGCCATCAAGAAAGTACTTTTTCACACAATAAATAATATGTGGAATTCACTGCCACCTGATGTAGTGAAGGCTTCGTGGTATTAAAAGGGGATGTAAAATAAGTCTATCAATGGCTATTAGACAAGGTGAGTCAATAGAACCCTCCTGTTCAGAAGCTTTCGAACATCAGTTGCTGGTATCCAATACCACAAAGTTTGAGTCCAGTGGCACCTTAGGACCAACAAAATTTAATTCTGGGTAGAATAGGGCTGCCAAGCCGCGGCGGGGGAACCACATCTTTACAGGATCCCTGCCGCAGGGGACAGCGATACGCGTTGCACCACTGTCGCCAGGATGTGACGCTATGCGTCACTCCGGCAACGGGACTCCAAACAGCCCCGTTGCCAGAGCGACACGTAGCGTCACATCCTGGCGACGGCGGTGCAACATGTATCGCTGTCCCCCGCAGCAGGGATCCTGTAAAGACATGCGGATCCCCCGCCGCCGCTTGGCAGCCCTAGGGTAGAAGCTTTTGTGTGCAAGCACACTTCTTCAGATACTGAAGAAGTGTGCCGGCACTAGGGTTGCCAACCCCACAATGGGGACAGGGTTTCCCCTGCTTTCCAGCCCCTAAATCCACCACTGGCCAGTGGAGGAGCCCTGCCCCCAAGACCTCCATTGCACCTGACATGATGACATCACCCAGAGATGACATCATCACACCGGGCACATCGTGCGGGGGAGGCTCTAGTGTTTGAGTAAAAACTCTATGGTGACCATAGAGTTTCTAACCCAAATGCTAGAGCATTACCCACATGATGTGCCCAGCATGATGATGTCACTTCGGTGTGACATCATTGCCATGTGCCCACTTTGTGCATGCGCCAGAAGACTCCAGGAGCTGGCTGGAGACCCCCGCTGGGACCCAGGTAAGACTTTGCAATCCTAGCATGCACACAAAAGCATGCACACAAACTGAGAGCCAGTTTGGTGTAGTGGATAACTCTAATCTGGGAGAACCCGGTTTGAGTCCCCACTCCTCCACTTGCACCTGGCTGGATGACCTTGGGCAAGCCATAGTTCTAACAGCAGCTGTTCTTGAAAAATAGCAGTTTCTGTCAAGAGCTCTCTCAGCCCCACCAACCTCACAGGGTGTCTGTTGTGGGGAGAGGAAGGGAAAGGAGTTTGTAAGCCACTCTGAGACACCTTTGGGTAGCGATGGGCGGGACATAAATCCAATCTCTTCTTCTTCTTCTACCTCACTGGGTGTCTGTTGTGGGGAGGGGAAGGGAAAGGAGTTTGTAAGCCGCTCTGAGACACCTTTGGGTAGTGAAGGGCAGGGTATAAACCCAATCTCTTCTCTTTTTCTTCTCTTATACCCAGAATTAAAACTTTGTTGGTCTTAAAGGTGCCACTGGACTCAAACGTTGTTCTTATTGCTCAGGCCAACACGGCTACCTACAAGAAGGCAACAAGATAAGAGGCTTTGCCCCACTTGGAGGTCTCAGGGGCATTTGGTGGCCACCATGGGAAACAGGTCGTTGGACTAGATGGACCTTTGATCTGGTTCAGCACTGTTGCCCTTCCGCTAGCAGCAGGAACTTTACTAGAAGAGGTGAAATGCTTCTCATGCTCCCTGGATGAGTCTCAAATGCATGGATCCTGACTGGGTTTTGTGTTTCCTTCTCTGCTTTAATGTTACAGAGTTCATGACCGGGCTCAATACATTCTCATAATGGCACTTACCTGATCTTTACCCCGATGGAAGAGATGTCACCAGCCACCAACATAAACAAGACACAGTTGCAGCCAATATCTTTACTGAATTTATTGTTTTTTGAACTAAGGTTGCTCACAGTTATTTGACAAGGGATACATCAGAAGGTTCTCTCCTTTTTTTTTTTGTCCATTTTAACTGTTAAATAACGTCGTTTTGTGTCCGTATGTGTGAGTGCGTGTGTGTTTGTGTCTTCGGAGTACAAAATAGGAAGGATAACAAGAGGTATTGCTTTCATTTATTCTTATGTCTTGTGTGAGTCGTCCCCTTCCTGATTGTACCATATGGGGTTTTGCGGTATTATTATTATTAATAGTAGTAGTATTTTTGTATTGAAATCCCAGCCTTTTGTAGAGGTACAATGTAACAGAAGCATCAAAATCTATACATAAGGGAAGAGAAAAGGGGGGGAAAGGCTAAAAGGCTGAAGGCAGTGGAAAGGATGCTGGGGGGAGGGAGAGAGAGGAAAGGAAAAGGTGGAGGCAGAACCGACAACAAAAAGCAAAAGGGACTCATTTACAGCAACATCATGCAATTAAAACTGCCCCCGGACCTCTTACATCCTGCCCTCCCCCCCTCCCCGGCCATCGCCCTCCCAGTGTCTGACATGCACACAGCAATACAAGAGAAAAAAGTTTCAGATCAGGAAACAAACAAACAAACAAAAAGCACCCTCCCATTTTTGTGTCTCTTTTTTTTAAAAAAAGATTCCCCCCCTTCAAACTTATGTACAAGAAGAACAGGGTCCAAGAAGGGCAAACCAAAAAAATAAAGGGGGAGGGGGGGAATCCATAAAGAACAAAGACAAAAAAGAGAAAACAACAACCGAAATATAGAAAGGAAAGAGCGAGGGAGAAATTTAATGTTATCATTTTAAAAAATCTCGCGGTACAACATACACTCATAGGAACCCAACAAACGACAATCGAAGGTAATAAGAGAATAACACTAATACTAAATCTACATCTTAAAAAATATTGGTAAAGGAGAATTTCTCCTGCTGTTTCTTCTTCGGGTTTTGTGGGGTTTTTTGCCTTTGACATATATGACCATAAGTATGTAAAAACATTTGATTGCGGGCCAGATTAAGTTACACTTGGTGTAACAGTTGGAGGGGGGGGGGGAGAAAAGAAAGGAAAAAGACAGACATTAAAAAAAGTGGAATGTTGGCAAGAGGAACAAGTTTAGCATTCTTGTTGTCATTCTTTTCCCCCTCCCTAAACTAAACAGGAATCAGGGTCACCTCTACACAGTAATGAAAGTAGAAGAGATATCTAACAGCTCGCATTATAAATAACAACGTACCTAATAATAACTTAAACACACACAAGAAAGTTCCAGCCCTCCCACCCCTTTTTGAAGGAAAAAAAAAGTTTATAAAAATATCTTGCAATATTTTTTAAAGTTTACAGTAGCTTTGTGTTTAAGTCGCCTATAGTGCTCTCTCCTCCATGTCTTGCTCGAATGAGCTAAGTGCCAGTGGTTGCACATGCGTGCGCACACACAAGAGGGGAAAAAAAAAGAATTACTCTCATTTCATGTTCTTCTTTTGCATTAAAAAACCCCCAACAACTCAAATAAATAAATAAATACATAAATACATAAATAAAGTAAAACCGGCAAATAAATAATACTGATATATCGATGCAGCACTAACAACACAATAGTTGCATCCAAATGGACGATGCAGTGGAGAATTCAGCTGGCGGAAGGAACCCCCCCCCCCAAGTGCAGAAGGAAGGAAAGGAGAAATGGGTTGAGGGGCGGGAGGAAGAGCAGCGGCTGTAGCAGCAGTGGTAGTGGTGGTGATGGTAGCAGCAACGGTGCTTCTGGTGGCAAAGAAGATTGTTCTCAAACAGCTGGATTCTCGTCTCTTTCTTCTTCACTGCCGAATGTTGCTTTCACCCTACGTTTCAATGTTCATACTTGCTTGCCTCGTACGTTGCAGTTCCCCCTAAGATTATGTTCTGCCCCTCCAGCAGGTTGAAAATAAGTTTTGAGATTAGGAAAAATAAAAACAATTTGAAAAGGGGGGGGGAGAAAAGGGGAAGGGAGAAAGCAAAGTGGAGGAAAACTCCTTAATGAGAATGCAGCTTGGATATGCTATAACGTGTCCCCACCACCACCACAGTCCAGATGTGCCAGTGGGGAAGTAAGTTGTCAAGGGCAATGATGCCACTCCAGTAATTCCAACTGTGCAATTTTGTAACTGAGCAGTTCTTCAGCGTGGAGCACCAAAAGAAAAGTGTGTGTTGCGGGCAAGTGGACGGGAGGAGACCCATTTCCTGCAGTTGGGAGGAGGGAGACTGGGAATCCCCAAACAGAACCAGTCCATGGTCAGTCTTACATCAGTGGCCTTCCGTGAACAAGTGTTCGCAGAGCACAGAAGGTGAAGCTGTTGGCTGACATGTTAACTTTTCGGGATAATTCCTGGTAGCAGAGTGGAAACAAGTGGTGGTGTCAGAAACACAGAGAGAACAGAACAAGAAAATAATGGCGGTAGAGGGGAGAGAAAGAAAATCAAAGGGGGAGGGGAGAAAAGGGAATTGGGTGGAAAAAAAGCAACCCAAGATCTGCAGAACCGGGTTTGTCATCTGTGCTACCTTTTTTCATTGCTTTTGTGTTTCTTTCAGAGAGATATAACATACAAATATATGTGTGTGTGTGTGCGTGTAGATACACACATATATACACATACACACACAGTCATTCCTTCATACAAAAGTTGTCTATAGACAGTTTTATACTGTTGTAGCAATATATACATATATATATATACGTATACGTATATATACATATACACATCCTTTCATTTTAAAGACTAGCTTTCTAAGGAATACTCATTGATTTGGGGATTTTGGTTTGTTTTCCTTTTAGTTATTTATTCTGTCCTTTTAAAAAAGAAAATCATATATTTAAGGTTGGTCTTCTAGGCCGAGTGATGAGACCATCTTTGCCTTCTCTTTGCCAGCGGGGTACTTAGTGTCTCCTCTAGGCCCATAGTCATTAGCATCGGAATCGCTCCGCTTGCTGTTTGCGCTATGCTTGGTTGGCGTGCCGGGGGGGTGGCTCACCTGCCCGTTCTTCTCGTCTGAAAAAAGTTGTTTAATTACGTCAAAGAAGTTACTCAATGGGCTGCCTGGGTATACAAAACAGAGGAGACAAAAAGAAAAACAAAACAAAGAAAGAGAAAGAGAGAAGAGAGAGAGGAGAGAGAGAGGAGAGAGAACAAACAAACAAATGAACAATGGGGCTTTAAACAAGAAGAACGTGATGAGCGGTCCAGAGCCACGTGCTTGGGGGTATGTGGAGGATGAAGACAATGAGCAGAAGAGGAAGAGCATCAGATGGGAGCACTGCACTGCCTACGGATATGGAAGGCCTGGGGTCGAGAATGCCACATTTGGTGGTCTGAATTTTGCACTGGACAGATGGCATCCGAACTTTTGCCTAGAAACGCCCCTGCGTGCCTTTAAAAAGCCTGACATGCTGAAGAATAATGTTGTCATACAGGTAGACATAGCTACTTGTGTATGGCCATATTTAATTCTTCTGAAACTGTTCTGAGTGAAGGAAGTCCAAAGTAATGCAAAGTACCGTATTTTCCGGTGTATAAGACGACTGGGCGTATAAGACGACTCCCAACTTTTCCAGTTAAAATATAGAGTTTGGGATATACTTGCCCAGAGACTGTATTTACCGGCGTATAAGACGACCCCCCCCATTTCTGAGAAGATTTCCCTGGGTTAAAAAGTAGTCTTATACACCAGAAAATACAGTAAATATCACCCTGATCCTGAGCACATTTACTTGGAAGACAGTCTCGTTGATAAAAATGGACCTTATTTCCAAGCATGTGTGCTCAAGGTTGTAGCCTAAAGTATGCCCTGCATTAATACCTGACTAATAACTTTTCAGCCTACCCTAGAGCCACATACTGCAATGCAAACACAGAACTCCAGGGTCCACAAGCTGATTTGTTAAACCCAAGGAGAGTAGGAAGTCTGTGTGTTCAAAAAGAATGAACTTGCAAATTGACATCCTCTTTGGAACCGAATGGTGAAAACCTTGTGAGCGGTAAAGCTGTGGGTGTGCGCATGAGATCTTACACTGTTTCAAAGGGGAAAAAATCTGGATCTATGGCTTTGATTGTGCTCTTATCCATACCTTATTCAAATGTGAGGTTTAATCATTGGACTCTTCCTGTAAAGCTGTATAACTCGCTGTAACTCGTGAGGTCAGCTAGATACAGACCTCAAGCCTGTATGCCTTCTAGCTGTACAGAAACAACTGGGGGGGGGAATGCACAGATGCACACAAAATGCAAACCTGCATCAGCTTGTGTTAAATCTGTACAGGGACATGTTGCAGTGGCAATGCCTGAATCCAGGGCTATTTTTGGGCAGGAACGCACAGGAACAGAGTTCCAGCTGGCTTCAGAGTTGGCCACGCCCACTACAGCCAAAACCTCTGCGTGCGTGGCTACAGAGGGAAGGCCTGGAAATCGACCTCCCCTGGCGACTCCAAGGCGGGCGGGACAGGGGAGCCCCTGGAAGGATCCCTGTGCCTTCCCTGGCCTCCCCTTCCCTCCAAGGGTCAACTTGTCCGGGCTCCCCGCAGCCACGGGGCGCCCAGGCAAGCCAAGTTTAAACTCCCTTCCCTTCCCTTCAGGGGGGGGCTCGCTCGAACTCCACACAGCTGCGGGGTGCCCGGGCAAACCAAGGGAAGGCACGGGGGTGTGGCCTAATATGCTAATAAGTTTCTGCTGTTGGGTGTGGCCAATTATGCGAATGAGTTCCTGCTGGGCTTTTTCTACCAAAAAAAGCCCTGCCTGAATCCAGTTATCACGGAATAGCTGGAGTACAAGGACTCTTCCCATAGAAATCTCATTCCTCTCTGGGGCCCAGTGCCCTGGTTTCAGTCTGTCCACATGATCAAAGGTCCCACCTAATTACTAGATTTAGATTTCACTACTGGGTTGAGAGATCTGGCCAAAGGAAATGGCTACCATCTGCAGACAGAGTGTATAAAATCAGCATACAGTTTTGTTTAATGAGCATCTAACAGCCAGCCTAAATGTGACGTGAGATGTCTGTGATTGGAATCTTCCTGATTTTAACACTAACTATCCTCACATGGCTGCTTAGGCCCCCCCGCCCAGCTGTAATTGGCTTATCAGCCCTTGCAGAGCTAATGGCAGCTTCAGAAGGGATATTTAAAACTATGGAAGATACATGGGAAGATATGGTTAAACACTCCTCCTCTCACCCTTCTGGTGACCAGTTCCTAATCATCAAAACCACTGCTGCATAAAGACTGCTAATAATTAAAAAAAGAAAAAAACCTGTGAGAGATCTTAATCATGGACTGCTCTTTTTGGTTCTAAAAGCTATCTTAGTCGTAACATTTTTGAAGCTGATTGAAGGACACTCCCTTCAGAATATTCAGTCCTTTAAAAAGAATAAAGGATGACTAAACCCCATCGTTTGACGTAGAGTTCAGTGAATCTGAGCCTACAGATTTCAGTGGACAAGTGCCCATCTCTCTGTTGGATTATAACCTCAGTACATAAGCATATTTGCTAATTATTAGAATTCACAGATGAGTATGTGGACCGTAGATAGTGCAAGGTTGACTATTCTATTGTCTGTTTGGAACAAAGTGAAGCATTCAGCTAAGGGATAAACTTGACGTTATGGTATCCATGACTTCAATCCCTGGGCTTTAAGAAAATAATTTGGCCATTTCAAGCTGGCTGTTCTGGAAATTGAAAAGGGATGGGAGGGGGACAAGATAACCTGGTACCATGGGCCCAATCAGGTTTGAGCCTTTGCAGTATTTTAAACATCTAGTTTGGCCCTAAGAGAATGCTGGAAGTCACTGATAAGCATTGGATATTCTATATATATAAAAGCCATAGCGTATTGGCACTTTCCAGCTCTCCCATTGGCTGTGCTGTGTGCTTCATCAGCCATTGGCCCGTCAACTGCCACTCAAGAGTACTCGCATGCTATTGGCTGGGTGCTGGGTCTGCTCCTCTCCCTTGGCCACTGCTGGCTTGGCCACTCTTCCCTGTCTGAATAAACTGCCAAAACAGCTGTCTCTCCTGAAAAAGATGCTTCTACTGCTGTTGTTTCACTTCTCTGCACCTGACTAGCTACTGAAACAGCTGTTCCCTGCTCAGGAAGAGGTTTCTGTTGCTGCCACTTCTCCTGCTTGACTTCTCCGTGGTTGGATGGCTACTGAGATGTACCACTGACCATCAAACCATTCTCCTCTCCTCCTGCTGTGGGGCTCACTTTTCCCTCAGTGGCTGTTGCTAGGCAATCAAGCTTTGTTCTGTCAGTAAAATGGCAGGGGCAGGAGGCCCTTTCCAGGCCTAATTTGGCCTTTGAGGGGAACTCATTGGGGCCAGTCCTGACTAGCCTTGAGATTTTGTGGTGGAGTCTACAGAAGCCAGAGTTTGGGGAGGGGAGAGGCCTCAGCTGAATAGAATGCCATAGAGTCCACCCTCCAAAGCAGTTATTTTCTCCAGGGGGAGAGAGATCTGCTGTCTGGAGTTCAGTTGTGATACCAGTCGATCTTCAGGCTCCACCTGGAGATTGGCTACCCTAGGCCTGGCAGCACCCTCTGGGTGACTTGATGACCCTTGACTGGCATGACTTAACTAGGCATGGCTGCTTGCTCCTGTTCACCAGCAGCAGCCCCCCTAGGACAGCCAGTGTGGCGTAGCAGTTAGCGCTTCAGAGCAGGGTCTGCCAGACCCAGGTTCTTGCTGTGGAAGCTCAGTGGGTGATTTCGGACCAGACACAGACTTTCAACCTAACCTACCTCACAGTGTTGTTGTGCAGATCAAAAGAGGAAAAGGATAATTAGGTAAACTGCTTTGGTCCCTACTGCAGAGAAAGACTATACTTTCCTCCTGGGGAATCATTGTTGCCAATCCCCAGGTGGGGGCTGGAGATCACTTGGAATTACAACTGCTCTCCAGATGGCAGAGATCAGTTCCCATAGAGAAAATGGTGGACTCTGTGTCATTATACTCTGCTGAGGTGGCCCCCCTATGATAGCCAGTGTGACATAGCAGTTAGCACTTCAAAGCTGGGTCTGCCAGACCCAGGTTCTTCCTGTGGAAGCTGGCTGGGTGATTTTGGACCACTCACAGGCTTGCTGTGCAGATCAAAAGGGGGAGAGGAGAATGGGTAAAGTTGCTTTGGTCCCCTTTGTGGAGAAAGACTGTACTTTTCCTAGGTAGGGTGAAAGAGATGGAAAGCTGAAGTCAGAGGGGCAGATAAAGGTAGGTTGATGGTTGACTGGGAAGGAGATAGGATTGCCACCTCTGGGTTGGGAAATTCCTGGAGATTTGAGGGGTGTAGCCTGGAGAGAGTGGGGTTTGAGGAGGGGTGGAACCTCAGACAGGTACAATGCCATAGACTCTACCCTCGAAACCAGCCATTTCCTCCTGGGGAGTCATTGTTGCCAACCTCCAGGTGAGGGCTGGAGATCACTCAGAATTACAGCTGCTGTCCAGATGGCAGAGATCAGTTTCCCTGGAGAAAACAGTGGACTCTGTGTCATTATACTTTGCTGAGTTCACCATAACAAATTGACGCTGAGTGCCCAAAGCCAGGGCATCTGCCCAGAGCCTCTTTCTAGAGCTCACTGTATTTATTTTCACAATGGGCCTTTTCCCTAGTATATAATTCCTTGCAGAAGGCAGAGAACCTGGAACATATTAGCAAGAATCAGGGTAGCTTTCAACAAGGGACCACTTGAGCTTAGCTCCACTTAACTCTTTCCGCATTCTCCCAAGCTCTTGCAACCCTAGTACAACTTCCATGCTGTCCCACTTGAAGAGCCAGCATGGGATAGTGGTTACAGTGTTGGAGGAGGATTAGAATGCCTGTGTTCTAAAATCCTCACCCTGCCATGCAGGTCCCTTGGTGACTTTCGCCCAATCACTCTTTCACAGTTTAACCTACTTCACATCAACATAAGCTCCTAGGAGGAAGGCTTGATAAAAATCAAAATAAATAATGTGCACTATTCATGAAAAAGTTTCCCACATTACTTTTTCATAAGCATTTTCTGTCATTTTATATAATGGAAATCTATTTCTACATGCATATGTGCCTGCTA